TCTTTTATGAATGTCAAAATTACTGTAGGCCCGCCCATAAAAGTACCTACTAGCAACCGATCCTCCACCAAATATGTCGCGTCTTCTGTGCACAAACCTGCCGGGATTGGCGTAACCTGCCGACCACAGCTGAAAGTGCTGCTTTGTAGTATTCACTGTCAACGTGCTTGGACACGCACTTCGACAGCTGCAACTGTTCAACGAGGGGATAGGTTGCAGTTCCTCTCACAAATTTGATTTAGCCCCAAACAAAACCCACCTACCCATTCAGATGTTCTTCTCAGTACACTCATACTTCAAGAACACTGAGTAAAATGCGATTGTAGTGGCATGATGCAAGCAGATGTCAAACGCTCAGTAGGTTTCCTACCGTTACGGCTGAAGGCATTTATCCCTGTCAGCGGCCATGGTACCTGCATGTCAGCAGTCTGATTTCCTGGTGTATTTGACACTTGCCGGTGTCCCCGCAACTTTCCTGACTTCGATTGTGAGTGTTTTACCGGACAACTATGGATAAAATATGGTCCTGTGGAGGATTCAGCCAAACACTGTCGACCACTCCGATTTCGTACAGTTTCCTCAGATATCCAGTAAAAAGAACGACAGCCTAAGATGGAAGCACGCACCTCTTGCGAGGTATTCCGGGACTGGAGTGATGCACGGCAGTGTAAACATGAGGAACCGTTCTGCCATCAACTCATACCATTTTCATTGCTTTCTGGATTAGGGGACAGAGGACTGGTTCTTCGTCCTCTTCCTGCCTTACTCTGAGGGTTGAGGCTGATCTAGTTCGCCCCTTAACCATTTCAAGGCTTGATATTCTACATAATCTGTAACTGTGGATCTGAATAGGAGTTCTTGGTCAGTCCTAACAAGAACAAGGTCGGTGGCGGAAGGATCAGCGACCTAAATGCTAAGTCAGAATGTCATAAAAAGATTTTTCCTATGAAATACGAAGTCTGACAGACTTTACTACTGTATATGTTCCCTTTAAATGCAATTTATAAACAATTTTTGGTTCTGAAAACGTACTACTTTATTTGGAAGTAAAGTTTCTAGCCTAGTTCCTGCCCAAAGTTTCAGTTGATGTCACGTCTTTTATGCAAGCATCAGCCTGTAAATTGAGTTTTTACAATCATTTCAAAACTCGAGAGGAATAGTTTTCTTTTTCCCCGCAGTACCTTAAAGGGGGAATCTGAAACAAAATAAATTTCATCTAAGTGATTTTAATGTCTTTTGTTAATTGTACTTAAAGTCATGTTCAAAGCAAACCTTTTTAACCGACTTACATAGAAGGGAACGCGGTAAATATACATTTTACACGGATTGAACATCATGCCTCAACTGTTAAAAATTAAGCACTTACTTTTTGTGTGACATACTACTCCGACAAGGCAACGGGCTCGTGGCCCGGTGAGTAGAGGCGTTGACTTCTAAACGAACAGGTCGCGAGTTCGAGGCTCGGGTGTTCCACACTTCGGGCTTGGGTATGGCTGGCTGACGACGGCGAATAAGCCAGAAATGGCCATTCCAGTCTCCCTTGTCTTTGTCGGTAATATCATTCTGCCTATACTACTCCGACTTTCCATGTAGGCAAATGTTCCTGCATTTGGTCTCAGGGCGTCTGTCACATCAAAAGGTGGACGCAGTTCGAAGTGCATTTTTTATCGATCGATTAAACCTCGTGTAAGTGAGACAGTTTCGGTCATCTTTGTTGCGACACTGTTAGTAACTTTGTCGTCAGCGTAGCGTAGGGATGAGCGCCTCGCATAACGCCTACTCCACTAAAACTCTTGTTGGAAACTGGCAAGAACTGCGTACGCGAGAAGAAGTAGGAGGGAATTATACTTTGCCCGATTATCTGATGTTTGCTAGGATGCACAACTTGAATTTTTGACAAAGTGTGAGAAAGGCTCGTTGGCAATCCAGAGGATGGCTCGCTTGAAAGAAACGTTCTTAAACTTTGTAAGTATCCTTCTCGATACTGGGTTTTTCCTTCGTTTGGCAATTCTGAAAGCATATTTCTGAGTAGATAGTACAAAAGTCGACCGAACGCTAAAGTCATGTGTTTATTACTCTGCGTTTTTAAACTCATGCAGGGCCCCATTGCCAGAGATGACAGCGACAAAAGCAAGTGATTTTTACGGAGGTTTTCATTAATTTAGACTTGCATTGCATGTCTGCAGACGCCTATGTCCGACGCTGCTTGTAATTGGGAAATTGAAGTTGACTAGTTAACTCCTTATCATCTCAAACCTCTACCTCACAGGTAGTCCTGTTGTTAGCCAAAACGCTTAACACCCTGACTGAAAAAACTGAAGACGTAACCCTGAAGGATGGCACTGGCAACCATTTGGGGCAGTTAAACGTCATATCATGCAATTTGTTCGCGTTTGGGTGTGTGAGATTCCAGTATGGCCTTTCTGACACTGTCCTGATATCGGGCTCAGGTGGGTGATGGAGGAGAGAGGGGTAGATCTTGCGCAAGTCTACTATCACGATAAGCTCGCGTGTAGTTCATCGTCTCTGAGCCCGCCGTGTCGTTCGTGATGGCTCCGATCGCGGTTTGCGCCAGATGGGAGGCCACGACCGGACATCGTCTTTTACCATGTGCTGCCGAGCATTAAGCCATCTGCCGCGGTAGATTTTTGAGACCCACCAGGAGATTTAGAGAAAAAATCAAATAGTCCTCACGCTCTTAATTTTTGAGAACGCACCAAAAGCGATGGTTCTGCTGGTAACAAATAGTTATCTCGATCAGCTCTGTTCTTCGCTGGTCTTAAGAATGTCGTATTTTGATATCCTTTTGCGTAAGGCCGCTGATGACAACTGCGATCAATAGTAGTGAAAATGCAATTCCCAGGTGGCATATCAAAAGAAAAGGAGGCGTTCCCCGGGAGAGTTATACTGGAGGTCTGACGTTTCGAGTAGTTTCGTCTTCCCATCTTCAGAGACTGGGAAGTAATGCACACAGCTCGCCGTATAATGGCGCAATTTGATGCCTGGCCCGCCAATGCCGCCTGGGTGTCTGCATCCGACCCGCATGTCACCGTAACCTAAATCGCCCCCCCCCTCGTCGGCCGCGGAGATAGTTGACGGCCCCGATTGGCCCGCGCCGAGACTGCCCCCGTCAAGAATGTCCGTGAAACCAGATAGGGGGAGGCAAATTGATGTGGCGGTTGACAGAACAGTCGGTAGACATCCAGGCTTCGTGTACCTGCCTTGCCGTATGATCATCACCCCCGCCCACAGTCTCAACGGCGTCAAAGCTGAAGGCGTGTGCCATTTGCGCGGCATGAGTTTCTACCTCCGACTTTGGGTGCAACATTCGCACGGCCTACTTATGCTCGTGCGTTTGCGTTTGCAGCCATCGTCCGGTTTTCCCAACGTAGTTGCACATCCCGCAGGTGCACTGAAGTCAGTACACAACGACCGACGTCTCCTGCTTAGGGATCGGGTCTTTTGGCCGCAACACTTGCCGGCGGATTGCTGAGTCGGGCCTGTGGGCAACGCCTATTCCGAGCGGCGCGAGGGATCTAGCCACGGCTTCGGAGACCCCTTTCATGTACGGAACGCTCCGCCACGTTTTTGGCCGACTATGTTCATCATTCCACTTCCTTGGTTACGTTCGGCTCCGTTCAACGAATGCTCGCGGATAGCCGTTAGCTCTAATGAGTTCTTGGAGGAGTTTCATCTCGTCCAGTTTGGCGACTGGCGTACTGCAATGAGTTTCCACCCGTCGGTACTGCGTGCGTACACTGCTTCATTTGTGTTGCAGTGGGTGGTTGTTATTGTAACTGAGCATTTGCAGCGTGTTCGTCAGTTTTCTGTAGACTGACGTCGTCAGTCTGCCGTCTGGTTGGCGGCAGACGAGAACATCCAACAATGGAAGTTTGCCCTCCACTTCCTTTTCCATTGTGAACTGGAGATCGGGGACGATTGAGTTCAGCAGTTCTTCATAGTAGTTAATTTTATCTTGACCGATGATTGCAAAGGTGTATTCAGCGTAGCGCGCCCATAACTTGGGTTTGTACTCGTCGAACAGTCGTTTCTCGGGTTTTTGCAGAACTGCCTCGGCAATGAGACAGGAGATTGTTGAAGCCATCGGAGTGTCCTTAATTTGCCCACATGTGGTCCCTTCGATGGTAAAAATGTTCTGAGGCGGTGTCCCATGAGTTCTGTGAGATCCTGAGCTGTGGGCTGGTCATCGCCTTCATTGTAGTTTTGACGTAGCAGGTCACCGAACGTCTCCACCGCAAAGGCCTGTGGTATGGACGTGAAGAGTGAGGCGACATCAAATGAAGCCATCCTCTCGTTCGGTTTGATCATGACCGCCCTTATCTTGTCGAGGAATTGTTCTGCTGAGTGCCCTGTTGTTTGCAAGCCCGCTTCTGAAATAGCCTATTTGCAAGTCCCTGTGTGTATGTGTCTCGGAGACGATTGGTCGGAGGGGAACGTCTGGCTTGCGTACCTTTGAAAGACCGTAGAAATGAAGAAGGAGACACGATCGCTGGGACAAGAGTTTGATTAGCCTGACGTTTCGGATTCCTGCTCGAACCCATTATCACAGATAAAAGCAGACCGTAGAATCTCGCCATCGGTGTTTCTGTGGGCTTTGTCATAACCAGTCTTTGAAGATGATGATCTTTCCCTTTTTTGTCGAGCCAGTAGGGTCTTCAGACTGATGGCGTCGCTGAATTTGTATGGCTTCCGTTCGTTGAGGAGCATGAGGTCTTTGTTTCGGTAATTTACCGTGTCAAGGATAACGGTTGGTTGGCCTTTGTACAGCCGGCAAAATAAATATTTTGGTGTTTGCTTTTAACTCCCTTGGGACCTTTTGCGCATCACTTAGCAGCGAAAAGGTTTTTCGGGGCGACATGAGAAGTGAAGAGATTTGGTGTCGAAGGAGGTCTTTCGCCTCGTCTGTGACGTCGGTTTGACGTAGCATCGATTCGAAAAAGGCAGTGAAAGTGATCGGGTCGGCGCCAGTTGTGTTAAAATCGGATTCACGTTTTAAAACGTTTGTTTGGGCCACAGTGAGACGTGTCCACCAGAGGTTGTGTAATAACATTTGTTCATTTTCCTAGGATTGTGCGCTCTGCAGGACCATGAACTTTACCGATAAGTCTGCATCCCTCTTAGCCCGTTTCTTACATCCCAATGATATTAAGGTGTTCTCCAATGGGGTGGCGGTCGATTCATCACATCGGCGTGTAACAAACATCCGGAAGTTTTCAGCATTATGTGTGTATTTCCTTAATCGTAGGTGACAGTCTTGTCATTCGCCGGCTGTGACGGAACATCAGTTGTTTAGCCAGTTACGTGTTGCGCGTTGGCATAACATAGTTGGCAGGCCGAGGCCAGTCGGAGGACAGTTTTTTCCCAACGACGGGCCAGCTGAAGTGCTTAGCGCCCTCAATTCACATCAATGGTAGTGAAAATGAGATTCCCAGATGACATATCAAAAAGGAAGCGTTCACCGGGTAGACGAAACAACTACTCTAAACGTCAGATCTCCAATACACCTCTCCTGGTGAACGCCTCCTTTTCCTTTTACAATTGCAATTGCTAGTATTTTAGCAGGTAATTTTCCACAGACTTCGTGCTTACAAGCCCTAAAATGTTCAAAAGTCATTATTTGGAGGTAATAGTAACTAACAGTACTTTATTTTAGTCCGCCATGCTTTGTTTGCTGAGGAACTGAAAAGTCCCGTCATCGGATGTGGTATGACTGAGTGTAAAGATGATTAAGGTTTCTTGAAGCCGGTCGGATTGGTGCATGATTATAAAAACTCGTCTGTCTGCTTGTTTCAGTTAATACTGTTGTTTGGACAATGTTTTCCTTAGGAATATCTTCGCTATGTTTTGTAGCATTCGAGGAAATAAGGAAGCCTGGGTTTATCAATTCTTTTCCTCGAACTATGCCAATCGAAGCCAAAGATAGAGGTCTACATACAAACGGTCGAAACTTAAAAACTTCTCCATGCATAAATAAATCAAAAATAACCCAACTCACAGTCACTTGCATTCTTCTATAACTGTTATTATTGGTGATCGCCCACAGCTTTCCAGCTCTTTGTTCTCTCTTCGCTGCCGTAGATTTTGCCGCCGCTAAACAACCCCTTCCTTGAGTGTCTGATGCATAGTTTTCATTTCAGGCTCAGGTGACGTAGGTAACAAAGGAAGAGATGACGGTGGACTCTATATTCGCATCGTTGTTTGTGATAACTGTTGTGAGGGAGAGAAGAACGCTTCTGGGAATGACGAGTACATAGGGTCGCCTTCATATCGTTAATGAATAGTCTTACAGGCGTTTGCAGTAATAATATTAAAAGTAATTTTGTTAACCTGTACAAGCAGTCGATCAACAGTCAATTTCATATATTCTATGCAATTTGGATATGCAAGTGAGGAAAGAGTTTAGACATGTTTTTCAATAACGGCATTTAGAACTGGTATGGCTAATAGGCACTGCTTCTATGCTTTTCAAAGCGGGAGGGGTCTTACCTCGTAATCTCGGTCTGCTTATATTTCCTACGAGTTGGACTCCGTAATACTCTTTTCTTCAGCTTTCTTCTGCGGCTACCTCGAGCATTTCTCCTCTCAGGCTCATACCATAGCGTACCTTCTGGGCCTGAAGGATCTTTTTCCGAATTCACTTTCAACTGCAACGGCGCTTTCTGCGAGCGCCTGACTGTCGCCGTGCTGTCTGCATTCGTCTTTTTATCGCCTAACTGCTTCATCTGTTACTTTTTTCAACCCTCCCTATCACAGATCCCAACGACAGAATCAACAGACGAATTCGTTCGTTGGAATGATAAAATTGGTCTTGTATGCCCATCTCCTATGAAACATCTCGTCGAAGGTAATTTCAGTCTCCCACGTCCACGAATAATTGTTTGCGTGGATCTCGACTCATCCTTAATCTATGGGAAAATGAAATTCATCGAGGGCACAAAAATCGTTGGTTCGACCGACCTGAAACCAATGGCTCGCACGGTGTTTCAGATTGTCAGGTAAAATGTACGCTTTTTAAGGTAGGCGTTGAAGTGGACAAATAAAAATGAAAAATTTAATTGTACTAAAACAATCGTTGCAGAATGATCAATTGGCTGTTTTTTCGAATCCGATCACGATAATCCACATGTAGTCTATGATAAAAGTGTCTTTTAAACACTCCAAAAACAGGAAGGCCTTCTCGGAATGGCCAGGAAACCATTATTTATGAAAAAACTCGAGAAAAGTGCGCCCTACACATTTTATTGTGCTGCTTTTGCTTAGTGAGCGCCGCAGATATGTATGGTTAAAATCGGCCTAGGAGTAGGCGCAGTTTCAGAATCATATGGCCTCCTTACGATTTCAGAAGAAAGCCGCCACTATATGACACTTGAGTTAACTCGGTGCTGACAGATATTGCGTTAATCCACAGTGCCGCTTGAAGTTCGATTCTTTTCTCAAAAAGGTCATATTTTATGCGGTCCTGTATTATGGCCTGTTTTCTGACCTATGCTGGTCTTTGTATTGGGTCTTACGCCTTTGCATATGTATAGAACTTGCAAGCCGTAAAATGACACTAAATGTTATGAAAAATACCTTAATAAGCTCTGACGAAGGAGGGTAGGTTTGCCGATTATATGAGTTTCAGATTTTGCCAATACAGCCTTGAGTAAGAAATAGACAAGTCATTTAAGCTACACATAGATATAAATGATCAATGTAGACTTTTCAGATGAAAATGGAGAGTTCGCTGACTGGTTAAATAATCTAAAAATGTATAGAAGATGCGTACCCACTGAATTCAATTTGAAACGATATTTAATATGACCCCAAACCGCCGGTACGAAAGCCTGCAAATCATCCCCTCCTCCCTCTCCCCCCGCAAATGGACTCCCAAAACTGTGACTAGTGATTTTTTGGAATTTTTTTCATTTCGCTTGCATGAACGCCCAACTAACAACTTTTCCGGTCTTTCCTGCTGACTTCAGAAAAAAACCTTAACATGGTGTGTTTTATCTTATACGCTTATGGGAAAAATCATGAGAAACAGTTTTATGGTCTAGTTAGCGACTATTTCACTGTTTCAGGTAGCCCCCAACAGGAGTACACCGATTCCAATTAACTTGTGTAAGGCTTCTTCGACAGGAAAAAGTGGATATGATATTCGCGATCATCTTAAACCCTTGGGAATAAGGTTCCCTGTCGGCGTACAATCCCCCATATGGAACATGAGTCATGCATCTTACCCTTCAAAAGCCAAGGGTTATCAAGTTGTTGTCATATTTACTGAAAGTTTGCTTGAATAATGCGCGTTTTGGATGTCCTCATTCAGTGCTTTGCTAGGGCCTCTGAAATCTCATAGCATTGATCAGTTATCTGCTGCGACTTCAGGCAATCAAAACCGGCAAACCCTTCCATAGTACATATTTACATCGCTAAAAAGAACAAAACGCCGTTAAGAACTTGGGATATTTTATATAAAATTTCACAAAATGGCGAACTTGGCCATAGAACAACATTTCATTGGCATGTACGGTTCATTGGTGCGGAGAGCTCACCCTCTACTGATTCTTGAGACGTTGCATCTGCCACTCCACGCGGGCCATCGGCGGAAGAATGAGGGCATGTCTTTAAATTGTGCTCATTCTTCAAACTTGTGCATGATGTAAATGAGAGCGGAGTCCCACTTGATACCAGTAGGTAACAGTATCACACTCAAGGCTACATGGATATGGTGAACATTTGGTTGCATGTCGACAATGGTCATATCCGTTTTATCGAGGGGTCAAGGAATTACGGCTTACGCAAGCGGTCTTATGGCGACTAGCAGATAATAACCGAGCAATTCTCCTGCCGCAAAGGCATGGTAGCCGTAATGGCCACTTCCGGTTTTCTTGCCATTGGCCGTCAGAAGTATCTCAACTTCCGTGGGCCACACACCCGAGGGTTGAGGGCGAGCCAGTTGGTCGCTGAACAGTGCACTCGCCACCACAAAACGGTTTTTATGGGAGCGTGTGGTGGAGGAAAACTTAGTGACATGGAAGCGGCGTACACCGACCTATTGTGATTGGTGACGGTAGTTTTTCGGTTTATCGTGAAGCACCTAGT